GGCGCCAGGATTTGTTTCGGGCCAGCCTTGATCGCCCTCATCATTCTCATATTCGTCAGCGTCAGCACTCGTCGCCCCCATCCGCGCACACATGCGGCCCTGGTACGGCTCTCACGCGGCCCTGCGAAGGCCTTCACTGTGCTCCCCAAAGCTTTCTGAGGGGCCCCCCAGAGGCCCCAAGAGGGCACTGGAAATTGTCGCTTCCAACTCCGCCAGGCGGAGGTCAACAAGGGTCTCACTGGTGCACTTCCAGGAATCGTCGTTCGATCCTCTTGGGGCCCTCCTGGGGCCTTCTGGAGCCGTCTTGGAAGCTCCGAGCGGCTCCATGAAGGCGCCGGGCGATATCGCTTCCAATTCCGCCAGGTGGAGTTAGACCAGGGGCTCACTGAGGCCCCTTTTTGCGCCCTCCTCTGCCTTTGAAAAAGCCCCGATGGGGTTCTTCAGTGCCGTCTTAGGGCCCCTAAGAGGCCTCCAGTAGGGTATTGAAGTTATCGCTTCCAACTCCGCCACGCGGAGTTGAACCCAGGGCGGCTCTCTATGGCCCTTTCGGGGCCTTCTTAGAGCTTTTCTGAGGCCCTAAGTGGGCCCTGGGAGGTGTCATTTTCACGGGCGTTGAAAGTGACACCGCGGAGGGCCCTCTTGGGCCCTTCTTGGGGCCTCTCTTGGGTCCCTCTGGGAGCCCTCTTGGTGCCGCCCTGGGGCCTTCTCGGGGCCTTCTTGGAGCCTTTCTGGTGCTCTTTAAGTGGGCCCTGGGAGGTGTCACTTTCACGGGCGCTGAAAGTGACACATCGAAGGGCCCGCTTTCCCTCGTAGCGCTGCCCGTGGCCGGGGCATTGTGCAGCGCATCCCTCGTCGAACGTATTTTGTCGGACGCGTGGTCGAATTCCGCCAGTTCGGTCGAGATGGTGGTCAAGCGGTTCGGTTGCAATGTAGCCATGCGGATCTGAGCTTACCATTTCTTGCCATTTTGGCGGGGATCGCAGGAGCGTTTGTGTTGTGATCAACTGTGCTCGATATATCCAGCGGCAGCGTTTCATCCCACTATATTATTTTGAAAAAAGTCAGCAGGGGCCAAATTGCTGATGTGAAGCAACATAGGTCTCGGATAGCGAGCAGGTCGAGTCCGAGGTCGCGCGGACCGCCCATGCCAGGCACTGAGGGTGGGCATCATGAACAACCGCGTGATGAGGCTGCTCGCCGCAGCTGGGTGCCGCGACGCGGCGGACACGGAGCCCGCCGCGTCGCGGCGCCTCAGATCTTCCGGCACCCAGAGGCACGAACACGAAGGCATGCCTCTGCCCGCACCACAAGCAGGTGTACGTGGCGGCCAGGTACTGCGGCAAATTCCCGGATGAGCTGAGAGGGCTTCAGATTAGAAGCCGGCAGCGCCAGGTAGCCCGGCAGCTCTTTCCGGCGCCGGGCAGGCATCCTCGGAGCTGCAACTCGCAGCGTGTTCCGGCAAGCGCTTTCCTACTCGTTTCCAATACGTGTGCCGGAAGCCTTTCCGCAGCTCCTTCGAAGCTCCTTGGGAGCTCCTGCGGAGCTCTCTCTCCCCAGCTCGCAAGCTCCCCAGGCATCCTTTCCAGCGGCCTGGCAAGCGTCTCCCACAGACGATTCCCGCGCCTTGGATTGCACTGCTATCCAAGTCTTGGAGACTTGCTTTCGTTGTGGATGCCACGACACTGGACACTGTAACAGCCCGATTCCTAACGTGTCCTTAATGCTCTAACCCTGCATACAATACAACATGCTTCACACATGTGTGCTGCATGCTTCAAACACGCTTCAGGCACTTTATGGACACCTGGGAACTACTTGACGGCATGCCTCCTCTTCATTGATCGTCTTTTACCATGCTTCTGGTAGGCCGCCGGGGCAACTTCCGGGGCGCCGCGCTGCCTCGCCCACGCGGGCGGGGACGCGGGCCGTGCAGCCCGAGACAGCCGGAGTCCACGAGCGCCCCGGCCGCCGCTCAGAGAGCGCCCCTCGCGAGGGTGGCGCGAGACGGGGTGCCCGTCCGGCGCCGAGCCCCCAGGCGGCGGCAGATCGCCGAGCCCCATGCGTCCGCCCGAGACCGTGCCCTCGAGATGCACGAGAAGGCGCGGAGAGGCACAACTCACGGCGCCACCCTCTGGACCACGCCGGAGGTGGGAGAGATACTCGCGGCATCAGCGGCCATCGAGAGTCCTTCGGAGCGAGTGCCCAAACTGTTGCCGAAGCGCGCCCTCAGCGGCGAGGGCCGACCGATGCTCGACACGAGGGTCGCGACCGGGGGCTCGCCGAAGGAATGGCGCCACGTAGGCGCTGCCACCGCGCCGTGGCGACCTCGTGAGACTGCCTCTCTGGAGGGCCACGCAGGCGCGCCCCGGGCGGTGGCGAAACGACGCGTCTCGAGGGCCTTCGCGCGGCACCAGACCCGCGACTGCGACGCGCCTGAACTCGGCACGTCCCAACCCGAGGGCGCCCGTCGGCCGCCCAGGCCGAGCGGTGCTCACCCACTGCGTCGCGGTCTTCGGGTGCTCTGGCAGCCCTGGAGACTGCATGTCCTCCGCGCGGGGCGCCGAGTAACGACCGCGAACGGAGGCGGCCGCCCAACCCGGACGTGAATGACGTCGTGCGCCACGCGTCCAAGTGACTTCATCATGGAGCCGAGGGTCGGGCTTCGGCCTTGGCTCTCAGGGGCCGAGTGCGACGAGACCATGAAGCGCGCGTGGAGCCCCGCCGCTATCAACGCCGAGAGGTTGGGCGAGGAAGGCACGCTCGCCCCTGAGCAGCTCGCGCTCCTCGACGTGGAGAAGCAGATCGCGCGGCCCCCCCGGAGACGAACTGTATCGGAGCTTCCCACCTGCTCGCGCTGAGCGAGCTGCAGCCCAAGCAGCGCCGAGCGCCACTGCGGCTGGCCCAAGAGCTCCAGCAGAGGGAAACAATCCATCCCCCACAACGACCACCCCGACGAGCGCGGCCGTTCAGTAAACGCACCCAACGCAGGAATCGAACGGGGCAAGGCTGTTCAGTGAACGCCCAAGGCCGCTTGGCAAACGCCAAGTATCGGGTCCGGGTGGTTTTTCCTCCCTTGATTGTGCTCACGTTGGACCGAACCACCCCTTCAGGCCTGCCTGGCCGCCTCTTTATCTCGGCAGTCCGACATCTCAGCGCGGCTCGGCGTCGCCATGCGACGTCGTCGTCGTCGTCGTCGTCGTCGCTGCAGCCGCCGCCGCCGCCGCCGCCGCCGCCGTCGTCGTCGTCGTCGTCGTCGTCGTCGTCGTCGTCGTCGTCGTCGTCGTCGTCGTCGTCGTCGTCGTCGTCGTCGTCGTCGTCGTCATCGTCGTGGTCGTCGTCGTCGTCGTCGGCGTCGTCGGCGGCTCGGCGCAGTTCTCAGCAACGGCGCAGCCCGCCATCGGGCCCGAGCTGCCCACGCCCGACCGGCTCCTGCCCGATGCGGCATCGGGGGGGGGCCCCCGCGGGCAACGCCGCAGGGCGCGGAGGCGAACGTCGCGCTCGCCTGGGACGAGTGGGACCACGCGCTGGAGATGTTCCGCGTCCTCCTCGACACGGCGGAGGCGTGGGCCACCACCTTCACGTCGGGGTTCAACCAGGCGCTCGCGCCTCGCCCTCCCGGGCGTGGCGCGGAGGATCCGCTGGACGGGGAGAGACGCCACCAAGGAGATGGTCGGCTGCATCGACTGGGGCCTCGCCACTCAGGTCGTAGAACGCCGCTCCGCCCCAGTGCCTCGGGGGTGGAGGCCGCCGACCTCCTGCGACAGCTCGAGGACGTGCTCGCCCACCCCAATCCGGAGGATAGGTGGGCGATTTCAGTCGTGGAACTGCTGGCCTTCGTGGTCCTGGCGGCCACCCGGGGGAGAAAGCTGGGAGGGGCAGCTCGTGTCCTACGTCACGGACAGCACGAGTGTCAGGTCCCGTGCTGGAGAAGAGGAGACCCCAAGCATCTCATTGCCAGGCACCTGATCCGACTCCTCGAGCGTTTGGAGGCCAAGCGCGAGTTCAGCGTGGCGTCGGTGTGCGCGAGGACGCTCCACAGCGAGATCGCAGACTGGATCGCGCTCGAGGAGCTGCGGCAGGTCCACGGCGAGCTCGGCCGCCGCGGGTGGACCAAGCTCGAGCCACCGGAGGCCCGGGGGCAGCTGCTCGCTGAAGCCTCAGGACAAGCTCGGGGGGAGGGAGGAGGAGGAGGAGGAGGAGGAGGAGGAGGAGGAGGAGGAGGAGGAGGAGGAGGAATGAGGAGGAGGAGGAGGAGGAGGAGGAGGAGGAGGAGGAGGAGGAGGAATGAGGAGGAGGAGGAGGAGGAGGAGGAGGAGAGGAGGAGGAGGAGGAGGAGGAGCGCCTACCCGGGGGGAGATCGGCGGCATCGCGGACGCAGCCCGTCGCCACCGCGAACTGCGGCGCCCGCGGCAGCTGCCGCCAACCCTCTCGCCCTCCGAGTGGCCAGGGGCCTGGAGCTGGGCAGCCCGCTCGGCACCTACGTGTAGGTCGGGCATGTCCTCCTACAGTCGGGGCGTTGACCTAAGGAACCCTAAATAAGGAACGAGGCCCCTTTTTTCCATAAGTTAAACTTCGATTTCCGATCGAAAGCATAAGGAAAACTTGAGGCAAGCTGCGAAACACTTAAGGAACGCGGGGCCCCTCCCCAACCAAAAGGGTTCCTTCTTCAGGGCCCCGACTGTACAGGGGGGGGGCTTGGAAGAAAAATAAAAACAATCGAAAAAGACTCACACATGTTTATGAGTATTCCTGAAAGGGGCCCCAGGACACACAAATAAATACACACAAATAAAAGGATTCCCCATATTTTCCCATATTTTCTGGGTTTTGCCTTCCCCCCACTTCCCATATTTTCCCATATTTTCGGGGGAATCGACGATTCATTGTGTCTGTGTGTTTTCTCCCCTCCTGAACTCCTCCTGTTGAGGGACATGGCCGCGCGCCCAATGCCTCCAGAGACAGCGCGCGCGCTGTTGGGAGCCGCGGTGGCCGCGACCCAGGACGCCGGCTTCGGGCCTGGCCCGAAGGGCGGGCCGCCAGAGCGGGAGGAGGACGCCGACGGCGCGAACGCCCACGCGGGGGCCCTGGCCGACGAGACCCACACGGCTCGCAGGAAAGCCCAGGGCGTGCGCTCCCGCCAGATCGAGCACGACCTCGCACAGGGGCCGGCGGAGGCCCCGGCGCCCGAGTCGGCGAAGCGGGAAGCCGAGGGCGAGGGCGTATACCCGAGACCAAGAAGGCCAACAAGGCGTACCCAAGAGGGCGTACCCAATATTCCCAAGCCTGGGGCGGCCGACATCGGCCCCCGGCGCCCCCCCGGTCACTCCGCGGGCGCTCGGTCAGGGAAGGGCGAGTCCCAGGGCTGAGCACCCCGTGCCAGGAGGCGGAAGCTGTGCCTCCTGGCTCGAGCAGCAGCAGCGGGAGGCGCTGCTGCAGCGTCTCGGTGAGGGCGGCCGCGAGGGGCACGGCGCCGGCTGGAAGCAGCGGCTGCTGTTCCGGGGAATTGCCCAGCAAGGGTCCCCGTGGCTCGAAGGGCGCAACCGAGACGAGAGGACAACGAGGGCGCCATGACCGGCTTCATGATCGTGCTGGCCCGCATCCCGAACCGCACGGTCGGGGCGGTGAAGCAGAAGCTCTTCGCGATCAGGTGCGCCCACGTGGTCGTGGGGCACGGCGACCCTCTGCTCCACCGCGCGAGGCTCTGCTCTGGCCCACGCTGGCCAGCTTCCAGCGGTGGCAGGGCCCTGGGGGGGAGGAAGAAGCCGGTGACGCTGCGCCACAAAGAAATAAACACAAATCCCATGATTCCCCACATTTCCCCATCTTCTCTGGGCTTTCGTTTTCCCCCCACTTCCCATACTTTGCAACTTTTTCCTGGGAGTCGACGATTCATTTTGTCTGTGCGTTTTTCCCCTCCTGAATGTTGCTGTGGCTGCGGGCTTTCATCCAGCGGCAGTCTAGCTGACCTTACCCGACGCCGCGGCCCTTTGGGCAGCGCTGATGGCGGCCTTCTTCTTCGTGCTCAGGGCGTCGGAGTACCTGGTGCTGGCGGGCCGGAGCTGGAACACCAGAGCGCGTGCTGCACGGCGACGACACCGAGGGCCGCAGCGCAGCGAAGGAGCAGGTCCGCATGTTCAGCGACGCCTCGGAGATGGTGATATTCGTTAAAAGGTCAAAAACGGACCACTAACGTTGAGTCGGGCATGTCCTCCTACAGGCGGCCATTGACAGAAAGACAAAGACTAGTCAACACATATTCATGAACACTCAAACACAATCGAAGTCGTCCACAGACTATGTTTGACTATTCCTCCTGTAGAGGGACACGCCCGAATCAACAATAGGTCGAAGACGGACCACTACAACCTCGGAGGCGTCCGCAACCAGTATCGGACAGGGTCACCTTATCGGCGCGCTGCCAGGTCCAGGCGATCGAGAGGAGTTCCAGGCCCCCTTCCCCCCCGAGCGGCTCCATGGGAAAGCTGGCGGCACCTCCCGCTGAACCGCTGGAGCAGTGGAGAGAGCCCATCACGCGGGAGGTGCTGCAGCACTATACCTCCTTCTCATCCGAGGAGCTGTGCTCCCACCGCGGCGATGGCCGCCGGCCCGGAGCCCTCCGAGGTGGGCCCTCGCTCGCTGCGCATCAACGGCGCCACGTCGACGACGCCCGAGGGAGCAGGAGCGCCGGCCCGCAGGGAGGCCAGGCGCGGGTGCTCCGCGAACACCAGCCAGCGGCCGCGCTGGCAGCCGAGGGGGCCGCAGCGTCCGCGGGGAACGGCGGCGTCGCGGGCGAGGCCCGTGGCAGCCCAAGGCGAACCGCCGGGGAGCCGCGCCCTCCGCGCGACGGAGGAAGGGCACCGCGTCGTGACCTCCCCCCCGAGGAGCACCGCGGTCATGGGCCTCGTCGGAGCGGCGCCGCTGGCAACGACCGTGTACATGATCTACGGGGCCCTGAGAAAAGCCAAGGCCACCGCCCAGATGGTTCGCGACCGATTTTTTTCGGTAGCGATATGTGGCATGATGAGAATTCGGTCGTACCGGAAAGAGCCGGTGATTTCGGTAGCGGATGCCACTTCCTGTATCATCAAATTCGGTAGCGAAATTCGGTAGTGAAAATCGGTAGCGATACGCAAACGAATTTCAGTAGCAAACGCTCGACATCGGCTGAAATTTCGGTAGCGAAGAATCGGTCGCGACCGAATTTCGATAGCGATGATGACGACAAACGTTTGACAAACGTTTGTCAAACGTTTGTTTGCGTGGTCTTGCCCCCCACCCAATCGTCGACAAACGTTTGTCAACAAACGTTTGTCAAACATGTGTTGGTACATAATTGGCACTCGTTCGATGGACGATCCTCAATATCACCGTCATCATACCCATCGTCATCATCATCACCGTCATCGCCGCCATCAGCATCATCATCATCATCATCATCATCATCATCATCATGTTCATCATCGTCGCCATGAGAGGGCTGGGATATGAAATGAAGTGGGGACGAGTGCATGAATTAGTGGGGAGGAAGAAAGAACGCAATCAAAGTCTCGCTCCTGAGTCGATCTAGTTACACCTACAGCTTAAAGGAACAGCAGGGGTGAATGATGGAATTACCCAAGTATGCCCTCGCCCCTCCCGCACGCTGCTTTTGATTTTCTTATCATTTGATTAGGGCTGTGATTATTGCGTTGACTTCTTACGGTGCTATTCGGCGCCATCAATCCGCATTCCGCAGTGGCAGAAAGTACGATCGCACTGCATTGCATTGCAAACCTCGCGAGGTCCAACCCAACAAATCTCGACCATGCGGGCGAAGAAACGATGATGATGAGGACGATGATTATGATGATTATGATGATTATGAGCACGAGGGCGGCCGCGACAGTAATGACGTCGACGAACGTTGTTCATCGCAATTGCTGCATCCTACTGCTGCGAGGGGCGAGAGATCTCGAAATCCACCCCCTCAAGATACGAGGGCCAGGCCATTGGCCCACTGGTGTCTGGTAGTATGTTTTGCCCATACTCCTCCCTCACCTCCTCGTTCCCATCCTCCTCCTCTCACCCTCCCCCATCGTCTTCCTCCACGTCCTTACCCCACCAGGTCCCATCATTACCTCTTCCCCTCTTCATATTTCCCAACCCCTCCATCCTGCACACCTTCACCCCCTTTTCATCGCCAACATCATCCGGACATCCTTTTTTGTCACAATCGTCACCCTACATCGTCATTAACACTGTCGTCGGAATAATCTCAATCATTCCTCCTCCTCCTCCTCCTCCTTCTCTTCAGTATCTCTTTTCCTAGTCCTCATGCTGCTCCTGCGGTGGAGGAGGGAAGGGGGTGGGCCACGGGGCGCAAACGTCCGACGGCCACGGGCCAACCGAGCGGTCTACCACCATCGGAGATTCGGCAAAGCCATTGGTATACTTTCCTATGCGCCACCTTTCGCACAATTTCTGGCTCAAAGCTAAAATTCTAGATCCTATCATTGTGGTCGCAGCCGTCTTAGTGATATGACGCATGAAATCCTCAGACATGTAGCACCACGACCAGCGCGGGTTTACAAACCGCGCTCCCTCTGCAGTATGCCACAAGAAATGCATTTTGTTTACTATCGACCATTTTTTTCCTCTCCGAGTTCTTTGCGCATGACGAAAGGGCATGGTAAAACACGAGGGCTTTTTCGACTGAATCCTGCAACTTATCAGCACACTCTTTTGTCAGGTACATGCCAGATGCGTCAAGGCAATCGTAATATGTGCACAGGTGTCCTACCATCATCGATCGCATCCGTTTGCGATCGGTCCCGTCCTCGTATTCGAGGCATAGCTTGTAAACCACTGGCACGAGCCATCGCTGCTCCGCAGCCTTGACACTCTTTTTCATCACTGGGTAGTCTCCGTGGGGCGCCTTGGGGTCGAGAAAGTATTTTACTCCGAAGTGGGTGATCCTGTGGGGGATCTCGAGTTCTCTGTAAAGCTCTCGGATTTGTTCCCATACTGCAGCGCAAGCTTTCGACGCTGGGGCGGGTAGCTGTTCGTAAATGATCTCCTTCAACACGTTTCCCAACATGTGGCTTGTAATTCCCAAGTCGACCGTATGCATACTGTCTATGCTGATCGTCTCGCCCGTGACTCCCCAAATATAAAAAATGGGGTGCGTGATGATGATGATGATGATGAAGCGCCTTGAAAGGTCGGTCCTCCCATAACACAAACCTGAGAAGCCACCAATACGCCAAGTGCGTAAGGTAGAGAAAGAAAGAAAAGGGGGGAGAGGCAGGAGGGGAAAGAAGCGGAGAATAGGTAAAGCCCAACCCAGGATTGAAACCCATGATACTGAAAGAAATCATGAATGAAAGACTGTCCAATATCCCAAATGAATCCCACCACTAGGTCCCTCTTGTGTTGAATGAAGATGAGAAACATAATGAAATAAGTGCCCAAATTTGACTAACAAGATCTTGAGTGACAATTGGGTCCCAACCTTGGAAGCACATGGTCCCAAGGTCTAAAGTAAGAGGTGAAGAAACTTCCAAAGTCCCATGAAACCCATTGAACATGAGTAGTGGTCAAGGCTGATATATATGACTAAAAGAGAATCTGAATGATAAACTGAATGTCCCAAGCACGCAATGAGCCCAGAAGATACGGAGGCACGAAAGATGAACTGTCAAAGCTGAATGAGATCCCAACCATGAGAACCCACACCAGGCATGTCGAGGAATATGGAATATGGGTGAATTCAAACTAATATGGAGAGCGCAAGGTGGCTGGAATTGTTTATAACCTTTTGTGTTTTGCAGACCACCATCGTAGGCGAGCCGCCGACGTTTGAACTTTAATGTCTGAGGACCCTACCCCAGGGCATAAGAAATACATGCAAGAGAGATTGAGAGAGACTGAGAGTCCTCCAAGAAGCCGCAGGCCCACGCACCGCGGACACCAGAAGATTCCCGTCTGAGGGAGTCCCAGGAATGCTCTTCAGCCGTACTTCCAACGCCACTTTTCCACGAAGAAATCTCCATCCCACCAGTAATCGGACAAGTGCCACACAACTGGGTGGGGCCAGCCCGAATCGGGATCGATCCACGTGTCGAAGTACTCCGTATTCCACACTTTGGTGTAGACTTCGTCTACTTCGCAGTAGTTCCACATTCCGCCCGAGCCATGTGTCCACTTGAGACGCTTCTTGGCAGCAAGCTTGACTGGAAGG